TATGAGTCAGAACTGACTCGACAGCACCTAACAACAACAACAACATCATCTATGTTATATTACCAGAGGTGTAGGAGATGAGAAGCACTGAATGAACAGTTGTGGAAACTTATGAATAGAAATGGCTCTCATGGCCCACAGTATAAGAAGCTGTGAGCTGCCAACAATGGAAGCCACGATTCATTCATTTAATCAGTACCTAATATGAACTAAGAAGCCCTGATGGTGCTGTGGTTAAGAACTCAGCTGCTTCATCCTCCTTTGCTCCAGGCTGATGAATTGTTGCGAGCTACTTTTGAGTCAGCTCCGGGTTCTTGGTGACCTCATTCAGAATGGAATAAATCACTGCCCAGTCCTGCACTGTCCCCATGATTGGGTAAAGTGGACTGTTGTGATCCGTAGGGTTTTCACTGACTGATTTTCAGAAGGAGATCATCAGGCATTTCTTCCTAGTCCATCTTAGTCTCGAAGCACCACTATAAATCTGTTCAGCATCATAGCAACATGCAAGCCTCCAATGACAGACAGGTGGTGGCTGCCCTTGAGGTGCATTGGTCAGAAATTGGCCCCAGATCTCTCACATGGAAGGTGAGAATGCTACCACTGTTGGTGAACTGGATGGCTGCATATATCTATTAATTCCACAAAAATTAGAGAAGTTTCTAAAGACAATTATGAATCAGAAAAGAGGGATAATATTGACTTTACAATTCCATCAGTTTGTATCCTTCCTAAATTAAAAAAAAAAAAAGGAAGAAGACCTTCTCATACAGAATTTAGCCCACATTCTCCATCAGCAACTGAATCTTTTGATGTTCTGTCTTTAGTGGGGATGAGGAATGGGCCATCCTTTACAACTCTGTGAGCCTTTCAAAGTTAGATACCAGTACTGTTCACTGATTATTAAGCACTATAATTATAGTAGCAGTGAAACCTTTAGTTGGAAATCTTTTTTCTAATCTAGCTGAGGAAAGTTTTTTTCCCCCAACAGCTTTAGCCCTTTTTCCACATAAGACTTTTCTAGGAACATGAAGCAGTTAATTCACTGCCAGGCTCAGCAGGAAGGTAATGCTCTTTTCAAATATCAAATCAGTCCAATTTCATTTAGACTTAAATGATTTTTCTGGCCCCTCTCCATGTAGATCCTCCGCAGTCAATTAGCATTGTCACTTTTAATCTTTGGTAGTCAGATCCTGGTCATTTCCCATTAGAGCTCTATTAAATAGATTCTATGGCCGGGCTGAACTGACTGTAGTGCAAGATGCGTAGAAAGCACGCCAGCCATCATTATGCAGCTGGCATTTATTAAAGGTTAGATATAACTGATAACCTTAACCACAAATTATGCTACATTGCCTGAAAATTCACTCCTGGATTACTTTGCCACCAACACCAAATGCTCCTGGCTCTGCGTAGATGGAAAGGCACCTTGAATTACGCATCGTAACTCAAACCGCTTCAAACTCCATGGCCTTTGCCTCAAGATCCAAAGATCCTAGAACTTCCAGGGGCAGAATAGCCAGCATTTAACTGCAATGCCAGACACAGTCTAGGTAAAGAGGAAGGGAATATATTTTCCTCAGGAAAGGAGAGCTCCATTCTACCGTAGCTTTACTCAGTCCAGTTGGGTCTTGCAAATAAAATAATGATGGAACTGTGGAAAACTTAAGGACAGACAAAACTTACAGAAAATTTATACATTCTAAGCAAATTTAGAGTAACTTATATAGCAGATATGCAATAGCATTCTCTAACAGAAAAAGCATCAAGTCAGGTATCAGAAAGCGTGGTTTCTTGCCCTACATACCCACTACTAACTGCCAGTGTGATCTTGACAGGGCAATCTGATTCCACTGGGCCTTTTGCTCTGGAAAACCAAAACCAAACCCGTTGCCACCAAGTTGATTCTGACTCATAGCCACTCTATAGGACAGAGTGGAACTGCCCCATAGGGTTTCCAAGGAGTGGCTGGTGGATTCTAACAGCCCACCTTTTGGTTAGCAGCCGAGCTCTTAACCACTGGGTTACCAGGGTTCCTTTGCTCTGGAAATCTCTGGTTAAACATAAACATAAATAAGGTACTTGGCTCCATTAAACTGATTTACCTTGGCTGATTAGCACATGCTATCACATTAGCAGAGCAGGAACCTGGAAAATAGAACATGTAATAGGAGGTAGAGGAGAAAAGAAAGAACGGCCCAGAACTCTCCAGCTGGGCTGGGCCCTTTGCTGAGAGGCTTCAGGCAGACAGCTAACTACTAGTTCCAGAGGCAGGGAGGCAGGGAAGGCAGGGAAGGCAGCACTAAAAGATAGCTATATCTATTACATTGTTTTTTGGGTTTTTGTTTGTTTGTTTTTATAACCAGTCATAGATGATAAAGATTCATAAACAGATATAGCATACAAACCATCCCGGGGACTGCCTGAATCTATCCATCTGTAGGTTCATCTGATAACTTTCGTAAGCACTTATTAGATAGAGTTTCTTCCCTTCAAGGGCTTACAGTTTAATAGAAAAAAAGTTAGGCCAGCTTTGGACAGATGATTCCAGAAAAAATCATAAAACTCAGGTCTTTACCTGTTCTTTTAGATCAAAGTCCTTAGCTCCTATTCTAGATTCGATTTCCCCTAAATTCCCTGTTACAAAGCTTCATCAATTTCCTCCTTAGCTGTCACAAAGAAACTCTTTGTGCATAAAGATCTAGAATTACACAGCAAATAGAATTTCTTGGTGGGGGTGAGGAGGGACTTCGTATGCCGATGGTATGGTATTTCTGAAGAAATGCATTTTCTTTGGTTTACCATACCCAATAACTTACTCAAGTCCACAGAAATGGACTCAGAGGTTTTGCTGGATCTACTTAACCAGGAGCTAAGGGTCATTTGTTACTAACTTATTAGTAAACGCTTTGCTAAAGGGCTGGAAAACTATTTCTTAAGTACGTTTAAACGCAATTACTGAAAACATGTTTATACTATAATCTTTCTCATCAAGTTTTTTTTTTTTTTTTTAAAATAGTCAAGGTAAATCAGTTTAATAGAGCCAAACCTACTTTAATGTACTAAGGCAGAGGAGAGAGGTGAAAAACTAGTGCTTTGGCTTGTCAGAGAAAGCTTCTTAGATGACACCTAAGTTGAATGTTGAAGAATGGAGAAGAGTCAGATTAAATGAAATAGAAAGGAAAACCATTTCCGGTAGTGAAATCCCATGAGCAAAGTTTGGACTCATTCTGGTGACACTGGCCAGAGGAATGTTGATCTACCAGCTTTTCACAAAGCCCAATGCAGGGACAATAAAAGGTCTTTGGAGCAACATTTTCCCTCATTTAAAATTAAAATAGCTTCAACAATTTATATGTCATTCTCTTAAAATAAAATAAAATGAAAATAGCTTCATTGAGTACCAGGGATAAAAAGTGCACATTCTTACATCTATCATACAAAAAAAAATTTTTTCCAACATCTATCATATTCAGTAGAAAGATATAAGTAAAAACAATTCTTATTGTTTTTTTTAACCACAACAATATTAACATCTATGTATATTTGAGAAGCAATGACATCCTTACAACTTTATAATATTTTATCCTTATGTTAGCCTGGGTCCTTTGAGAAGCAGATGCTAAAATGTGATGAGTTGTGCAAGAAATTTATGAGGGAAAATGCCTGTGAGAGAAAAGAGGGAAGGAGTTGAGAGAGGTTGGGAGAGCTGTCAGAGTGTGGTATGTGATATAAGTCTGGCTGTGAGTGAAGGAGAGAGAGGAGGGAAGGAAGGTTGGGTTGAATCACCCTAGGCTGCAGTGCAGCGCTAAGGAAAGTTAGCAAGGTCACCTGAGACTGCTCAAACCAAAGTCGGCTGTCAGAAAAGTCCCTTATTTCCCTGGAACTGGCCTGTTGTAGTATCCCCTTGAACTCAGTTATTGTCTGGGAGCAACCTGCAGGAAGCACGTCCCCTGTGCAATCACAGCAATGGGTTTTTTTTTGTTGATGACCAACTTTTAATAATACATATTTAATTTTCAGAAACATACGCTAACCATCAACAACGTTACCTGGGTTACATTGCCCCAGATGTTATTTCATTGGTACATTATATCAATATTTACAAAGGCTTTCAAATTCAACAACCTAAAACAAAACAGCTTAATTTTTAAAACTACAATGCTTTAAAAAAATGTAAACGGTTCATTTTTACATTATTGTAAAAAAGAAGACTCACTCCTTTATGCGGCTTAATTTTTTTTTTTAAGTGAGCAAAGCCTGGTGCTCATGAATACAGAATGAAAAGAATTCTTTACATAGAAACATTGTGCTCCAGTGTGGCAAAAAAAAAAAAAATATATATATATATGTGTGTGTATATATATATATGTATATATATATATATACACATACAAGGAAAAGATTCCTAAGTCCACAATTTAGACCACAAAAGAAATCTTGTCCCCAAATTGAGAAATTTATAAAAACAATTTACACATGGTTGTTGACCTAGTGAAAACCTATATACCATTTTCAAAACAATAACTCAGTCAAAAGATACCACTTTTCCTTAAAAATGAAATTTTGTGCAAAACAAATCGTTTAAGCTAGAAACAAGACTCTCCCCCTACTAAGAAGCCAAAAGAGCCATGGGAATAATTTAACTGTTAGATTTAGTACATGTAACCAGAAGGCACACACATGTGATTAATATATTAATATGTCTTCATGCAGAAAACTGAGCTTGTTCACAACAATTATATAATAAAAACACAAACATAAAGAAACATAAAGCCTAATGTTTGGCAATGTTATTCTAGCCACATTCCTTTCTAGTCTAGAAGTCCAGGGTCTACTAGATCATCAATACTGCCTCTCAAAAATATATTATGTTTAAACGATTTTCAATAAAAATTAAAAAAAAAAAAAAGGATGTCAGCCTGAAGCACTATAATATTTTTTCAGTTCTGATACATATAGAAACTTACTGATATGCTTATTTTAAATGTGATTTCAAATTAAGATACATTTTTCCTTTTATTAATAAACACTTGGATTGCTCCGATGAAGTCAGCAGAGAGCAGAACTTCCGTGTTATCTGTCTTCATAATACCAGAGGGTGTGGGATCCAAAACTTCAGGATCTTCATTTTTATCATTGCCTTCTGATTTTTCAGACTGCACATCCAAAGATAACATCAAACTTGGGTTTGGAGCAAAGATTGCAGGCGTAACAACTGCATTATGAGCTTTAATACCTTCCCAGAAGTCACTGCGATCTCTTCTGACTGAAGTAAACTTGCTTAAATCATGGTAAGTACTCCAAATATAAACATATTTATCTTCTGAGCCACTAACGAGGTAAGTAAAATCATGGCTGAAACTTGCTTTGATCTGGCTACTGCTATTGACATAACCCTTATACTTCACGGACAGTGACAAATCTCTAAGATCATACAGTCTGATTCTGGAGTCATTTGAAGTTACCAGTATCTTATTTTCTCCAGGTAAATGCTCATTGCCAGTAATTTTTCTTCCTACTCTGTTGTGCCCTCTGGTAGATTGGACATGTATTTGTGTATGGTATTTCAAATGCTCTGTATCACAGAAAATACATCTGCCATCATATGTCCCGATAACTGCATATTTGCCATTCTGACAGAAATTTGCAGCGGTGATCAATTTTGTTTGACCATCTACTTCATTCCACAAAGCCACTTTTTTGTCAGGTATATTCCAAAGTTGGAGCTTTCCATCCAATGAGCCACTTAGAAAATACCTGTCACCTCTTGGATGAAAAGCTATGGCAGTGACAAAATCTATATATTGAAAACAGCAAAGACATTCTCTTCTGGAAATGTGCCACAACCTGACTGTTTTATCCATAGAAGAAGAAAGCAGAAAGTAGTTTTTAGACCATGAAAGGTCAAGGAGATCAGCAGTATGTCCTTTATATTTGCAAAATGGCCGCTGTCGAAATGGTGCATTTTTATCATCAGGGTCTTTATCAGTTCCACTGCATACCCCTGTTTCTGTATCAGATTTCGATGAATTCACTTTCCTGAGAAGGTGACGGGGACACACGCCCTTCAGTATTGTATTTCATTCGAATATTGTTGAAATAGTCAAAAGCATTTTTTAAAGCCCATATTCTCACTACATTGTCTTGTCCAGCTGAGGCAAGTAATCGGCCACAGTGAGAAAATTTCATGGTCCAAACAGCTCCCATATGTTCACCACTAAGATCTTGTACCACTTTGATCTGATCAAAATCATAAGGTCCTTTAAAACCATGTGCTGCTTTGAATTTAACAGGTCGAGTATATGGCATTCCTTCATCATCACTTGATGAAGGATCATCTTGATCAGTATGAAACACCTCATCTCTAACACTTTTAACTTTATTTACAGCACGTTCACCATATTCTTCAGCAAGGTGCTTTGCTCTCTTTACTGATTTTCCTAGGAACTTCTTTAGTTGAGTCCTAATGAAAACAAAAGCAAAAACAATGTTTTCTGTTTTAACCTTCCACCATCAGCATCTGTTGACTGAGGCTGTAATTTCTCTTCATCATCTGGCTGTGCCGCATCATTACTTACATATTCCTTAGTCCTCCTCATGATGTGTAGAGTGAGAGGATTAATACCTGTGGGCAGTTTCTCTTCCGCAAGACTCAAAAGTATTTCTTCTCCGGTATCCAGGTTCTTAATCACTACACTGGCTAAAATTTCCTCATCAGTAAGCTCTCTCCCAGAGTTGGATCTAGGTCTCTGAGGGCCCATCACTTCACCTGCTACTGTCTGCCCATCAGGTGCTTTTCCATTTTCCTGGGCAGTAACTACTTTATCTCTACTGGTAGCACTTGCCAAACCAAGAGAAGGTTGAGAATCCTTGGCTGTGCTCTCTGAAACTATGTTTGTAGTTAGGAGAGTATCAGACACAACGTTCTCTTTGGCAACTTCTAGATCAGGAGTTTTAAGAGCCTCAAACTCTGATTCAGTTTTCTTTTTTCTTGGTGGTGAAGCAGTCAAGATGGAGGTGGGGGTCTAGGAGGTGGAACATTATTTGGAGGAGGTGGGCGCGCTGGAACAGGCTTCTTTGTACTAGCCACTATATCAGGTTCTGGAGTAAGTTGTCTCGGAGGTTTGGCAGGAGCTACTTCTTCCATTGCAGTAAAATCTTTAGTAGATGAGGAATTTGAGGATGCAGGTTCTAGAACATCACTTGGTTTGACTTCCGTGGCTTCCTTGTTCACTACTTCTCCTTCAGTTTCAGGCACATTAAGCTGCTCAGTTGAATTTACTTCAGTTAACATTGTGGTTTCATCTGCTGGCTTCTCATAGGTGTCATCAGAAGGAAAACATTTTTTAGATTCTAATTCAGTTTCTTCAAATACATTCTGACTCTCTCCTTTTTTGGAATCTTACTGTAGTACTTGATCTATGGCTAACAGTCCAGGTATATTGCTAAGATCTGTTCCAGCCGTGATAGAACTTGCAGTGGCCTGCTCAGAGAGTCCTTTCCCTTTGGAATCCAAAGAGTCATCCTCAAGTTGCAGTACTTTCTAACTTTCCTCAATAATACTTCCAGTAATCTTTTTAGATACATCTTGTTTCAATTCTTGTACAGGGAACTCATTTCCAACTTTGTATGCAGTGTTCTCTGTTTCCTGGTTTAATGTTGAAAGTCTAACCTTTCCCGCACCTTTTGAGGCTGAAGCAGCTCGGCTTCTTGTGTCCCTTGTCTCTTCAGCTTCTGCTTCCTACGGCCTCTTGGCCCTCAGGCCTTACGCCCGCATCTGCCCTGCTGGGGCAAGTGTTCCAAAGCTCAGTAGCTCCACTGGTAAGTGCCTGGAGGCATCCCACTCTGCCAGGAAGCCTCCTGCACACAGGTACTCAGCTCTCTCGCTCCGTGGGTCGGCTCCAGCGCCGTCTATCACCGGTCTCCTGGTTCTGCTGCTGTTGGTTCTCTGCTGCTGCTGCTTCTCTGCTGCTGTAGGTTCTTTGCTGCTGCTGGTCCTCCGTCAATGCTGCAGTCTATCCGTTCACAGTTTTAAAACCACTTCCACACTTTAGGTATCTGTTAGAGCAGCACCCCACTCTCTCGTACCAAATTCTGTCTTAGTCATCTAGTGCTGCCATAACAGAAATACCACAAGTGGATGGTTTTAACGAAGAGAAATTTTATTTCCTTACAGTGAAGTAGACTTAAAGTCCAAATTCAGGGTGTCAGCTCCAGGGGAAGGCTTTCTCTCTCTCGGCAGTCTCATTGGTGTTCCCCTGGACTAGGGGCTTCTCGGCACAGGGACCCCTGTCCAAAGGATGTACTCTGCTCCTGGCACTGCTTTCTTGATGGTATGAGGTCCCCCAGCAATGGGTTTTAAAGAGCGATAGCTGGGCCCTCATTCAATCACACTCCCTGTAGTTGGATATCTGAACAGCACAATCCCATGGTCACAATTCTGACTTTATCCTTGAGTCATACCACAAAACTTGGGTGAATTCTAATAATTCTGAATTTTAAAAGGGTTAATAATACCTAACACTGGTAAGGTGCTTTGTGTGAACACCACCACAAAGGAAGTATTGCCATGTTATTTTATAGATAAAAATCGGATGCTGTCTTCCAATCTGTTCAGCATCTTTCCCTTTCTTCAAAGATCGTAATTTTTTCTTCTTGACATTAATTAATAGGATATGAACAGAGAACTCAGACCTGAGTCCGTTGACTTTTCATCCCACATGCTTTCCACTATACATGCTCCTTGGGCTGCCTCCCATAGCAGACCATCCATTTTCTGGGATAATGAGCAGTGTTTTGAATAGTGCAGTCTTACTCATCTAGTGCTGCTATAACAGAAATACCACAAGTGGATGGTTTTAACAAAGAGAAGTTTATTTCCTTACAATAAAGTAGGCTAAAAGTCCAAATTCAGGGCGTCAGCTCCAGGGGAAGGATTTCTCTCTGTCAGCCTTCTCATCAATGTTCCTCTAGGCTAGGAGCTTCTCCACGCAGGGACCCCAGGTCCAAAGGACACGCTGTGCTCCAGGCACTGCTTTCTTTGTTGGTATGAGGTCCCCCTGTCTGTCTGCTCACTTCTCTCTTATATCTCAAGAGATTGCCTCAGGACACAATCCAATCTTATAGACTGAGTTCTGCCTTACTCAAACAACTGCCACTCATCCCCCATCCTCCCTCATGAACATCATAGAGGCAGGATTTACAACATATAGGAAAATCACACAGTACCAGGAATCATGGCCTAGCCAAACTGACACACACATTTTTGGGGGGACATAATTCAATCCATGACGTGCACAGTTAGGGTGGCAACCCACCAACTGTCTGTCAGTTGGTTGCACAGCGGTAGCTTGCATGTTGATATGATACGAGAAGCTATGCCACCAGTATTTGAAATACCAGCCGGATCACCCAGGGTGGACAGGTTTCAGTGCAACTTCCAGACTAAGACAAACTTAGAGGAAAAACTCTGCGTTCTACTTCCGAAAATTAGCCAAGGAAACCCTTATGGATCACACCAGAATACTGTCTGATACAGTGCTGGAAGATAACCCCCTAGGTTGGCAGACATTACACAATAGCCACAACAATGGACTCAAACAAAACAACGGTCATGAAGGTGGTGCAGGACCGGGCAACGTTTTGTTCTGACTCAATGGCACCTAACAGCAAACAATAGGGTGGTAATAAATTGGTATAAATTACCAACAAAGCCAAAACATTTGTGAAAAGGAAATGGGGCACTATTAATAATGTCATCAGGACAACAGTGTAAAGGTACAAAGCAGTACATACAGCCATCCTATGCAAAATGCTTTCTTCACTGGCATTTTCTTCACTTCAGCCTATAAACCTAAAACAGCCTCCACGGACAGGTATACATCAATTGTATCCACAGCAACCATGGATTTACCAGGAGAGCCATTTCTTGGCTCAGGGAACAACTATCCTCAACTTCCTCCTCACACCTGCTACTTTTCCACGAAACCATTCCCCTTCAGATCCTCTGGGCCAATCCTCCAGACCTATTAAAGCACCAGGAATCTCTGCCCTTGTACTGAGAACATTTGTTTTAGATCATAATTACAGATTAAATTTCACATTTATTTAGCATCTTTGCCACCCTCCCTACATTTCATTTGCAGATGGCTGTTTACCTACAGTATCTTATTGATTTAATTGATTGCCTGTCTCAGTTTTTATCTCAAGCGGCGTAACAGCCTGCTCTGTTCCGATGCTCTGCTCCAGAAGACAGTGCTGGCTGTTTGGAATAATTCAATGCATCATTAAAAAGAAGAGACTGAAACTTAGTTTCCTAAACTTTTCAGCCAAGGTACATGTTCCTCACAGCTTTGCAGATTTCATCTTTTCCCGGCAAACTTGCACACAAGAACGGTACTTGCTCTTGTTTAACCTAATCAAGTAGTTCTAGGGAAACATGGGCTTCACAGCTCTGTCTTCCAATCTGTTGAGCATCTTTCCGTTTCTTCAAAGATCATGATGTTGTTCTTCTTGATGCTAAGGATTTCACAAAGCCTAGGAGTTTGTTTTTAAAAGCATGACGAGACTGCTGCAATATACTGTCCCAGTGTGTAGCTTTGTCACAATTATTTGGCATGTGGAATCACCATTGTTCATGTAAACAACACCACTGTTGGTGGGAACAGCTGCCAAACCAGTAAGTGTATGTTGAGGACGTATAGTGAACTCATGTCAGTTTATAGCTATTCTCACTGTCTTAATTTCGTTCCCTCAGAAGCAGACCTTGTGCAAAGGATTCACATGCAAGTAGTTTATTTGCGGGCAAAAGGAAACACTGGTAGTGAATGGTAGTGACTGCCGATAAATGGTGCAACATTAAGCCAGATCCCATAGGTGGGTGAGCAGAGCTCAATTGTGGGGCTATGTGCCATTAAAATATGGATGTATAAAGGCCTCTATGCTGCACAACATGTTGAGACTTGGCCCCAACATGTTGAGACTTGTCACTACTTGTTTTTCCAAACCCGTTACTGATCGGCTTGTTTACCTGAATTCCTCCTCCCTTGCCCGAAACTTATTGTTATTCACCCAAAGCCCATTGTTCTGTTATTTGCTTCACTGCTTGCTGTATTGACTATAAAATAAACTCCAGGGACTGAAGCCGGGGTTCGACTCCTCAGAGTGACCCTCCTGGCCCCACTTCTCTGTAAGAGTTGTGGCATTGGTTACTGTCTCCGCTGCCCCGACAATCGCCGCCGCTGCGACACTCAATCCCACGAGGAGACTCTGGGAAACAATGTAAAATACACAAGTCAGAATTACCCCACCCAGGAAGTAAGGAAGCTAGGGGATTATAGACCAAATCCTGGCACTCAGTAATTGAAAGGTGTTCCCATAGAGTGGTTTGGTGTCAGTATAGGCTACTCAGCCTTCTGCATAGCTAGGGGGAAAAGCTCTCAGACCCAGAGATGCAGGTATGGCTGCTGGGAGTTGCTGAAAACTAGCATCTGAGGGAACTGACAGTGTCTACTACAGTCCTTTCAAGGCCCATATCCGCTCTGTCCTATCATGTTTCTTCAGACAAAGTTGTGGCTTCATTGCAATTTATATTAGAATTTTTTTTTAACTTACATAAGGAAAATGAGTGGGACATGTTACCGTTCCCACTGCTGCAGTTAATCCTGAGTTTGCAATTAATGTTTATCATCTCCATCGTCTACCCTCTATTCTAGATTATACTCACCTCACTCTCAACCAGCACCTTTTCTGGTATAGGTTGTTTGCTCAATGGGGTGACATAGACTTTCCTCTCTGAGAGGCTGAACCCCCTGCTTACCACACACTCCTCAGGCCATGATCAGTGAAATTTCTCACTTATATTTCTGGGCATGGAAGCACCAACAGGCACCCAATTGAATCTCTTCCATTTCAGTCATACACTTCCAGCCCACTTACATAGCAGCAACCCACTACCTCATCATGATAATCAGTTTCCTCTGACTGTATGGTAACTTTTTAATTGACTTATAATCTACTGAAAGGAGAAGCCCAAAGCAGAGTTGGCAATGTTAATTTTAGGCTTAGCTGAAACTTCACTGGGTCCTTTAGTAAAATTTTTCTACCTTGGAAACTAAGGCCTTTAACCCAATGGATTCTAAAGTTGTGCTGATGGGATACACAAATTCCCCAAATCGGTTACTGGGAACAATGATCAAAACATTCTACTTCCACTTGTTGGTTCCTGGATTTGAGCATTATACCCTATCAATAATTAAGCACCATGATTTCAAAATACATATCACATTCTTAGGGTCCCAGCCCCACAGGATGTTGCTACACTTTTGGGAGGCTTCCTAACATTGTATCAGAGGACTCCATGGTTATATGCCTATTGTCACATTTCTTTGGCCATAAAGTCCCTTCATCGGAGGTGATATTTTTTGGACCTCCTGACAAAAAAAAATCAGATATCTGTTAGCCCTCAAATGGAGGTGTTTCTGGCTAAGCCCCTGCAGATGGGAGCACCATAGTGGTGATTTTGGTTTCCTGGTATTAGGAAACAGCACTTTTTATCCAACAGCCCTTAAAAGTTCTGGGTATTCTTCTTTCCTAAATGTAAATAGCCAAAGTTTCCCTTGGGGAAGAATTAGGGAAATCACTACAATATGTGGTATTGTGTATTCCAGATCTGAGAACCGGCTCAGGCCTTAGAAGTGGGAGAAATATTTTCCTTTTTGTAATGCAGTGACTGACATTGTCTTTTGATTCACCCACTCTTAATCTGTTTTGGTTGTATAAATCAAACAACAGCCTTGTTTTTTAGCCATATCTCTTGCCCTTAGAAACACCATGGTTTATTGCCATTGACACAGATCCCTGTAGGTCAGGACCTCTGGCTGCCATTGTGACTTTGCTGCCCTTTATGGTAATTATGCCCACCTCCCTTTGATGATAAAGTGCTGCTACTTGGCTGTCTCAACTTTTCTGGAATGATATTATTCCCATTGACACTAGCTATCCCATTTCCATAGCAGCCACCACTACTGTCAACCCTGGCTCTCTCTAGTCTACAGAGGACAGTCACCTCTTTTACGTAATAAATGCATTTGGTCATTTCCCTCCCTAAGCCCTCCAACCTCTTCCTGAATACTTCGCTAAGGCAGTTATGATGTCTCCACCTAATTTACTATAGGCCATCATTTTTCCAAGCTTTGAGGAGCCATTCCAGCAAGGCATTAGGATGGGCTCCAGTGTCCTTGCCAGGTCATTAAATTCTGACCTGAAGGGGAACTCTCCCTTACCCAGGCTTATCTCATCTAACCCTATAAAGATCATTCCCAGTTATGTTCTCCTTGTTCCTGCCCATACAAATTAGCTAGTTACTGTAGCTTTTTTGGTGAACAATTCTTCCTTTTTTCTCCCAAAGCAAGAACAATACTTCTGCAGTCAAGCTATGGTGAATCTTAATCCTGGTTGTCACCTACAAACCATGAGGGAAGACTAGAGAAATCTCGAGAAAGGCAGATACAGTCTTGAAAGGCATCGACCTCAAGTGAGATCTCTGTACAGTCTCCAGGCAAAAGGAGGTTGGGCTACCAATTCTCTAACAAGGAGCACTTGGTCACTTCTGCAGATCCTAAAGGTTCAGAAAAATCTGGGGGCTCAAGTTTCTCAAGTTCATCCACACAAATATCCCCAACCCAAGTCTCAGGGCCCCACTCCTTCTATTCAGGTCTTTTTTTTTTAAATATTTTATTGTTTTGGGTGAAAATTTATACAGGAAATTAGGTTCTCATTCAACAATTTCTATACATATTGTTCAATAACATTGGTTACATGTTTCACAATATATCAGCATTCTCATTATTTCCATTCTGGTTGTTCTTTTTCCATTAATCTAGCTTCCCTGTCTGCCCTTGTCTTCTCATCTTTGGTCTAGGGTAAATGCTTACCATTAGTTTCATTAGATTATTAATTTGAGTAGCACAGTACTCATGGGTGGTGTTATTTATTTTATGGGCCAATCTGTCATTTGGCTGAAAAGTGACCTCTGGGAGTGGTTTGAGTTCCAAGTTTAAAGAGTGTCTCAGGGTGATAGGGGTTCATCTAGTCTCTACTGGTCTAGTAAGTCCAACTTTTTTTTGGAAATTTGAGTTTTGTTCTACATTTTTCTCCCATTCTATCCAGGACCATCTATTGAGTCCCTGGTTGGAATGGTTGATAGTGGTAGCCAGGCACCATCTAGTTCTTCCAGTCTCAAGGTAGGTGATATTGTTCCTGTAGACTATTGGTTCTGCAGACTAGTTTCTTCTTTGAGTCTTTGGTTTCCTTATTTCTCTTTTGAACCAGATGAGTAGAGCCCAATAGTTATACTTTAGAGGGCTGGTCACAAACTTTTAAGACCCCAGATGATACCCACCAAACTAGGATGTAGAATATTGTCTTTATGGACTATATTGTGCCAATTAACCGAGCTGCTCCACCAGACTATGGTCCTAAACCTTCAAACCTGGTAGACCAATTATTCAGGTCTTACCTTTTAAGGCCAGCTACGTAATTACGTATGTGGGTTCCATGCTCAAAAAGCATGGAAAAAGTATCATTAACAGTACTAAATGTAAAGCTTTTTCCTTTCTTCTGTGGTCTTGCTTTTGATTTGATATGGTGTTTTTATTTGCTATATAAAATCATTCTAAGTAAAAAAAAAAAAAAAAAAAACCTGAATCTTTAAGTTATTAGCATGAAACAGAGGAAGACCCTCAACAAGATGAATTGACACAGTGGCTGCAACACTGGGCTCAAACATAGCAACGATCGTGAGGATGCAGGACCAGGCAGTGCTTTGTTCTGTTGTACACAGAGTCACTATGAGTTGGAACTAACTCCATGGCAACTAACAATAGTATGAATTTTACCGTTCATCTTTATATTGTCAGGCCAGTTTTAAATGCAAACATAAGAGCATTTAATTCATATGTGGAGTCATCGAAATTACACAATTTCTACTTTGTAGCTTAAACATATCTATGTATTTTGTTCTTACCAGAATGATGGAAGCACTGCACAAACCTAACTCTACTCTTTTTATTTAATTTCTTGATTCATATACATTCTACTAGCACTCTCTACATTCAGCTTACTGATAAGTAAGGAAAAACTGAAAGGAAAAGGAGGAGTGGGTTGCTCTGTCTTTCCTTTTCCTTCTATGTCATCATTTTCATCATTAAGTTGTTGGCTATAACAGGGAAGTAATACGAATAAAAAAGTATATGATAGAGTTCCTTGATCATTTGTACTTCTTAGAACACCACAATCTTCTTTCTGCATTTGAAGCAAGTTCTGGTTTGAACAGAAGGTGTGGTTTTTTTGGGGGTTATCAGCACTCCTGTGTATTCAGTTGCAGATGTATTGACATGGAACATGAGCACAAAATTCTGTGCACCTGTGATTCATGGGAGTTCAGTGAGACTAAAGTGAGTATAAGGTAAATGTATCATGGAGTGGGCATTGCAAATGCTATATGTAAATGCGGTGGCAAAGAATAGCACACATGCATGTTGCATGTATCTACTCTGTTCATGTCCATGCTCCATTGTCCTATTGGACTTCACTTAAAAAACACAAATACAAAGAAAAAATTATGAAGAATTCCAAGATGGTACTAAACAGCTATTTAACAAAATTAGTGAAGAATGCTTGTCATGACCACTGTGCTCTTTAAAGAATTACCTACATGAGACCAAATTGTCAAGAGTAACTCTAAAGCAGAGATGAGAAGTTTATGGGCTAGTGACTCTAAGTCAACGGTAGTGGAACAAAATATGTAGAGATATTGAGAATGGTGACACAACATGAAGAATGTAACCAGTGTTGTTGAATTGTACATGTAGACAGTAATTGGTAGATGTACCTTCTGCTGTATATATGTTCACAAAAATTAAAATAAGAAAAATTAACTTTTCCAATTTTATTTAAAATTATGTAACATGTATTTAACATGTCTTTTTAACATGTGATAAAAAGTTTTATATCTGAAAAAAAAAAGAATTTCAAGATGGAGACAGCAGAGCATTAAACCAAGCATAAGGCCTTTCTGAGTGCGGGGCCCTGTGCAACCACACAAGTCGCACACCCATTTTAATATGGGATATTCTCAGATCTGTAAGTTAAGCCTTCTCTGCAATTTTGAGCTCTCAGATTCAGATCCCGAGTCTGATTTTCGGGCCAATCTATCCTATGGCTATAGGAGATAAGTGTCTTTTTAAATGCTACTACAGATACTCTCTTGGTTTGAATTATGTCCCCCAAAAAATGTGTTTATCAATTTGGCTGGGCCATGATTCCCAGAATTGTGTGGTTGGCCTCCATTTTGTGACTGTAATTTTATGTTAAAGAGGATTAAGGTGGGATTGTAATACCACCCTCACCCAGGTCACATCCGGGATCCAGTGTAGAGTTTCCCTAGGGTGTGGCCTGTACCACCTTTTACGTTACAAGAGATAAAAGGAAAGGGAAGCAAACAGAGAATTGGGGACCTCATACCACCAAGAAAGCAGTGCCAGGAGCCGAGTGTGTCCTTTGGACCTGAGGTTCCTGCACTGAGATGCTTCCAGACCAAGGGAGACTGACATCACAAGGACTTCCAGACCAAGGGAAGACTGATGACATGCACCTTCCTCCAGAGCCAGCAGAGAAAGCCTTTCCCTGGAACTG